TACCGTGGCCCTAACCTTTGAACTTAAAACATTATAAGCTCTTACATCCCCAACACTAATGTCGCATTTAAACCAATCTCTTCATTCGCTGGAAGAGGACCACCTCCAAAAACCTTATATCATGTCCGTTCTGGCCACGATTCAGACACACTGAGAGGATTTAAAGGGATACCCGCCAGCTTTATTGAGCAGGCTTCTCAGCCTTGGTCCAATAAAACACTGACCAGATACTGCAAACATGTTCAACATCCAAATAGTCTCCAACATGGTAACTGATGCCTGGCAAAGTTATTTAAAATCAGACAGTCTTTTTCACGCACCAACGATGGATGGTTTTTCTTTAAAAAAAAAGTATGACTACCATCCTGTTCATATCCAATATCGTGCCTTAAACCAGAGAAATCAGATTAGCCCTTCTAATACTGTACAGCATGTGTGAAGATGTCAGTGTGCGCCCATGCATGTGCCTGTAATTAATTAAAAGTGAGAGGCCATCCTGTGAAGGACTCTGATATATTTTTACATCACCGGAGAAATTATATTCTGGCACGGCTGATAGCTGCTAAATGATAATATTGCACATGGAGAATTAAATTGGATAAGGGTGTTGTGCTTTAAATATTTAACATGTAACAGGGTTGCAGATCATAAGAAGCCTCATCAAACAACTTTAAAGCAACAAAATGTGGACAACGATTCAGTCTTTGATCGTGAATTATGATTTACTGAGTGAAATTATAACTTAGAGTTCAACTCCTGATGAATCAGTTCAGAAGAATTTTTCTTGCTTCAAACATGATCAAACAACGACAAGCTTCGCTCTCCTCTGCTTTTTCCTCTTCCTCTTTCACACATCCATTTACACTCACACACTGGGTATTTGATAAACCTGGGAATGGAGCAGTGGAAATGTTTTCCAGACGATCTATGCAAATAAGTCCTAATCCCCAGGGATACACTGTAAACGGCTTGAACCACCAACACAATCTACAGAGGGGTATTTGTGTGTGCATGTGTGTGCGTCGATGCAGGGATATCAAACACAAACACGCCTCCAGCTAGTTGCCAACAAATTAGAAAATTACAAGTAAATAAACAAAGTACTGGAAAACTTCGGTACAATGTCGATTCTGGCCTTCCCATCCACGAACCCTTTCTGCCGGTTGTGGGAAAAGATTTTCTCACATACAGATCCTGACTTTGGCAATGAGAACAAAGACTGCTGCCAGACAGCCCTAGCGATCAGAATTCTTCAGCAGGAAGTCACAAGTTTAACTTCATCCTCTATCCAATAATTACTTGGCTGGAAAATGGGATAACGTTGGGAATAAGCAAGGACACAGAGATTTCGGATTCTGGACATTTGCCTGCCTGTCATAAGGTTATTTACCGACATCTGTTTCAGTAGAACACTTTACAAATTGACGATAAATTGAACATGAGCGTAAGAGAGACTTCACAAAGTAGGCTGATTACAATCGTGACCTAATTCAGGGGAGCTGCTGGCAATCACAGTGGATTCTTCCCAACACTGTACTTTGACTGAGAGCCAAAAGTCCACAAACAATAGCAGTAACTGGACAGATACAAATGAACCAAGTCTAAGACAGAAGAAGGATTGTGTATCCTATATCTTAGGGTTCCGTTGCTGTGTCTCTGGTTCGTATCATAAAGTACTGGGACCACTCAGTGGGAAAGGAGCACATCCAATACATTTTCTCACAGGAAATGGCACCAGATGAGTTTGGTGGGAGTAAACTGGCTTGGATTTCAGTGTAAAATATGAGGAAGGAGAGCCTATGAGCTAATGCACCATAAGAGTTACAACGAATATACCTTATGCGTGCAATCTTAAATATGCATAAAATGTTTCAGTGGTATTGTGTTGCTAGGAAACAGCTTGGATCAAAGTTTATTTGTCATGTAGGAGAACCAGTTTCCTGTCAGCATTGTTATTAGCAAGAGCTGTAACAGGAAGCAAACTGAGTCTATCTAGGATGTTTATCTTGTCAAGTCTAAAAAGCTCCACGGGGATGCCGAACACGCTTGCTAAACAAGTCACTTCAGATTGTTATGAATAAAATGATGGCTTGGAGTAATTTTTGTGAGTTGTGTTACACTGACTACAGGTTGATTAAATGAAAAAAACAAAACAAGAAACAAAACAACAAATCTTGCAGCTCAGGGGAAGTCCGACCACCTGCGTTTGCTATAGTCTTTACTGTTGCGTCTTCCCTGCGCAGGATATCCTGCCTTCGGGATGGGGTGGGATGATAAGAAGGGGGTTGGTAGGATGTAAATGAAAAAAAGAAAAGGCTTGATGTGCACAGCTGAAATTGATGCAAATTGGAAGCAGCACGAGAAATGACAAACAAATACCCTGAGACAGTGTGTAACGCAGCACAGCCGAGCGTTGCCCTGTTGGTACTAACCCTGTTTAAGGGGTCACATCACCAGAGGAAAATGTGTGACTGGAGGCTGTTGAGTCAATATTACTCAGCCTGATGTATGTAAGTGTGAACACACAGCTCCCTCACAAGAGAAATAAGTGTACGTCTGTGTGAGCAAACAACATTTCACAAATGCCGTCTGCTGGTTAATGCAGCGCTACGGCTCCATCGCACGGGGCGAGCGACGTTGGTGCGAAATCATCACCTTGACGCACAGTACATTCCCACATGGATTGAGCATACTGGACTGCTGGTGATGCAAGCCTTCACTGGTCACAGTTGAAATGACTGCAGAGAGAAAGAGCTGAAAGGAAAAGCAGTTGAATTTTAAGTAGGAACAAATTTTTAAAAAGAAAGTTTGAGAGTAAAACAAGGCACGGCATGGTCCTGGGACAGGTTAGAGCCACGACTGGAAATGTTTTCCAGTTCAAGAGAAGAAAAAAAAGATGGAAAAGAAGTGCAGAAAGTGAAAACAGGTTGGTAGAAGTTAAGGCCTTGTCTGTGTCTATCATTCCGGCTCTCTTTCTTTCTTTTCCCCTCTCTCTCCTATTGTGTGTGTGCCAGTTGTGTGAGGCTGGGTATCTCATTAACAGTAATAGAGGAAGCCAGGCAGGGCGGCAGTGAGCCAGGGATATCCCCATCCCACAGTCTGACACACTGACCCCTCCTTCTCTGCTATTGAAACTCCCACCGCTATTAACTGCTCCACCTTGGACTGTACCACTTTTCCAGGCCAGGGGAAATATTGTTGAAAGGACTTCTCCAGAGGATGTTTAGGGAGCATTAAAAGAGCCCCTCCTGAAAGGTGCCTTAGTGTGGACCAGGATGGGGTTGTTAAGGATGGGTTAGACTTAGGGAGGCCTTGTTTCAGCTTCCTCTGATTGTGTTACCCTCCCTGAGGATGCTTAAACCGAGGAGCTACATAAAACCGCATTTGAAGACAAAAGTTAGAATAACAATCCAGATTATTCTCCTCTTGAGAATAAAAAGGGAATTGGAGAAAAAAGGCAGGAAGACGCGCATGCTGTGTATGTTTATCTTTGTGTGCATGTATGCGCTGATGAATTTTTGCTATGCAGTGTGCTTCTTATCATTTAGCTACAGGCCTGGTGAGTCTGTTGGGTTTGTCCTGGTGGTACCAGCTGCATACAGGGCAGGTGAGATGCTTGGGGAATACTAATGGGTCCATGAAAGCCCTGTGCATCAATTCAGACATGGTGATGTGAATACTGATCAAGCTTTTTGCTGAATCACAGCTAGACAGGCACAAGGCACAAAAGAAGCTGCTGCTTTTACACAAATAAAATAATGCAGAGTAGAGAAAAGGCTTGCATTATTAAAGCAAATTGACACATTTAGAGAACACAAAGTTAGCAGGGAGTGAAATGTGAGGCAAGCGAGACAGAGAGACCAGACAGCTTACAAAATAGCCTCTATGTGTGTGTTTTTGTGTGCAAGCATCCCCCTTTTAGATGCCCATAGAAACACTTACCAGCTTAACAGCTTAGTTACCACCTCTTTAATACTGACCTTGGCAACGTAACTTCCTGTTGTGTATGCTGAGCACAACAAAAACAAAAGAACACTATACACAGGCACGGCTAAGTGAAAAAAAAAGTTCTATTCAGTACATAAACCTAGCAGGAACATGGCCATGACATCCAACCCAGTTCTGTCCTTCAAGCTTAATGAAACAAATCAGTCAAGTTTAACCCTGCCCTGTCTCTGGCTCCAGCCTTTGTCAGGAGGACATACCTGGCCCTAGAGTACATCATCTGTTCCCTACTTGCCTTTCTTCTTCTGCCTCAAGCCCTTGACGCACAAGTGCAGAATCCTTCATTAATAACAGTTCCTTATTACACGGGACGGCCTCATGTAAACGCAAGTATGCCTTAACAGGCGCACAATTATTTGGGATAAAATGTAGTGCAAAATGCCTACTGAGATGAATGTGCATAGAAATCTATCTGATATATATATATACTTTTTCTTTCTTTCTTTCTTTCTTTCTTTCTTTCTTTTTTTTTTTACATGTTTACGTTTTGTGTGTATTGGAGGTGAATCCTACCTGATAAAGCGGCCTTGAAACACACCTGTGTGTGTGCAATAGATGCAGAGGCCCAGGAAGGTTCCTGGCATGCACGCGAATCCGCCGGATGGCTGTGGAGGTGAGAGTCCATAGCAAGCCCTGTCGAGTACAGACCACCTCATCTAGGCCCAACAAGACAGCCTCCATCCCTAACTAACTACTTTGCCACCAGACGAATACACAGCAATATGAGTTTATATCAAAGGGACATCCACAGGTAACACATTAGTGGCAATGAGATGGTATGATTAGCCTTTATTGTCCTCTTGATGCCACTTGGATCCAGTAGATAATACATGAGTCATTTCTAGAGGTAAGCCTGAGAGAGACAGGTTAACCCCCGTGTCTGTCTCCTCTCTTGTCCCTCTAGGGCCACTTGCTTCTCTGGGATTCACTGGAGTGATGCCTCCTCAAGGTCAAACCCTGCTAGTCCTTCTGCCCCAGTCCCACACAGCTAGTGTTCCCTGCTGACTCCTTCTCTCCTGGTCCTCCTCTCTTCCTGTCCCTTTTCTTCCCACTGAAGCAAAGCACCCTCTGTCCGTTGCTCTCAGCGTCACAAACACAAACATTCCCACTTAGGAAATGCAGCCGGTCTCTTAGTCTACCCGACTGGAGGTTGTTTTTAAAGCGATATGCACTCGAATACTGCAGCACACACTGAGGGAAACCAGTCCTCTCACTTTCTCTCTCACTGTCTCGGTTTTCAAGGAAAGAGGTATGTTTCTGTGGTAAGTCCATTCCTTTCAAACACCTGTTCAGACTGAACACTAAGTGTATGTTTTTGAAGGAAAAGAAGACCGGCACACATGTTATACAAGTATAACTGCAAGCACGATACAGAAGATTGAATCACAGTAACACTGACATCTGGTCACTTGGAGTTTTGCCAGAATGTTTTTAAAAAAGGACATATTTTTCCCCCAAGCCAGTTTTCCCAGGCTGGAGTATCCTGGACTGACCTATCTAAGCTTTGAAAAAAGAAAAATTACGCCTGCTCCAACCGTCTGCTAGTCTTCGCCAACTCATTATCTTGTGAAAAAAAAAAAGACTGAATATAATTCATTACGTCAAACTAAGTTGTTTATTTGAGTCAGAAATCCACAATGAATCTTACACTTGCTTGCATACATCCATTTGCAAAAATGGCCACATGGAGGCAATACAAACCCCATATATAATCTCTGCCAAGCAAGCAGTGCCTGTGTGTAAATCCTTGCCAGTCTGTTATAAATTCTGGTTTAACAGCACTACTAAAACACTACAGCTTGTATGAGAAATGCTCGCTATGTTACGTCTGATAGAAATGTTAAAGTAACTCTAAAATCAAACACACACATTTTTTTTTTTGCCTCCTGCAGATCACGACTGGTTACAGAGAATTTTATTTATGGCAGTTGTGTTATTTTAAAATAACGTCTGCTGGTTTTGTGCAGCCAAATGCTTTCATTTTTCCTACTTTCGTCACAGTCTCTCCTCAGAGACTTGATCGATATAAAAATTCAATAACTCTGTACAGTACAGTAATTCTTTGCCTTTTCTACCAAAGCACCAATCTGACTGTGTGTATGTGTGTGTGTGTGTGTGGGAGGGGGAGGGGGGATTAAATGGCCTTTCGTAGCCCGCTCTGATTCATTGCGAGGCTTATTGATGCGAGGGTCATTTCTGTACTGCTGAGATAGTGTGCTTGTGTGTGAGACTTTGTGTGCATACAAATTATCGTATGACTTAAAGGAACCACAAACATATGCGTGGGAGGCTGTTGTGGTGTACATCGGGTTCAGAACATAACATAAGTAAACTTCTAAGAATCAGCTTACATCTACACCAACCATAAGCTCCAGAATACCTCTGCTTCCACAGCGATCATTTCCCATACTTCTATCTCAGGGTTTGACGTTGTCCTCTCAGTGGTGTCTTGAGAAACTCATGAGGAATGTGTGGTATTTGTGCAGTGTGAATTTTCCAAACTGACTGGAGACGCTCATCTCAGAGTGACTGTAACTTACAAGGGGGTGTAAATATTTGTTTCGGTGAGGATAGAAGAGGGAGGCTGGGTATGAGTGTGCGCTGTTCCCATGATTCCATGTGTTTGCTGTGTCCTGCTGAATCCTGGGAAAGGTCAGACAGCCACTGTGATGTAAACAGACACGGCCAACAGTGTCAGCTGGGCGGCTATCCACGAAGTAAGAAGACGGAGTGGAAAAGAGACTTTTTTACATTCAGAACTGTGATGGACAAATTGAATTGACAGTTAACTAGTGAGAAAATCTACATAAGACACGGGGAAATCATCTGTCTGCTCCTCATGTATACATGTCTGGTCTCTTTACTTTCTCCCGTTTCTCCATCTCTTTTGGCCTCTTTCATCTCTCATCTCTCGTATCTCTCAGTCTTCCTTCTGCTCTCTGATTTTCACTCAGGCGTGTCACACTAGAGTGGAGGCAAGGCAGAAAGAGCGAGTGAAACAGAGAGGAGTGGAGGGAAATGGGTCACCAAAACTATAAATTCACAAGCAGATTCTCAGCTGAGGCTCTCTGGCACACAAATACCTTAAACGAGCTGCGCGCGGGAGAGCAAAAAGTGCACCTGACACTGACACGTTGAAACACTTTATGCAACAATGAACCCGACACGTGACTTGCATGGGTCTAGATCGCTTTGGATTTTTTTTTTTTCCCCAACATACAAAGACACACAGATCGATGTCATTGCAACAGAGCTCGTAAGTGACACATCCATATAGACCCAACCAGGAATTCAATTCTGATCAGTCTTGCTTAATGTGATCACATTAGAGGTGCAAGCAGAAAAATCAATAACATAAAGTAATCTGGCCCGAGAGACGGATGAATGCAATGAGCTTCTATATGTCTGCGTCTGTGAGAGTGAAAGAGTGCATGCTGCGAGCTTTAGTTTCACTAGTCCTGTGGGTGTTTGGAATAAATTAAATAAAAATATTGTTTACTGAGCATTTGTGCAATGAAAAACACCCAGTGATGACATGACATAAGCCTTTGAAGTATTGGGACTTTTATACTCTCTTAAGTATAGAAGTTGACCTAGTTCATGTGTTATACGCTCTAAATACTGTACACACATGCATTAAAGGGTGTTCACGCACATGCACGCACATATACACTCTCGCTCTTTCTACCTATCTCTCTCAAGCTAATCATTGTCTCCACTTTGCCTGGCAGATAAATATTAATGAGGATTACTATGTTACTGCAGCACACCCACGGGAAACCAAGAGCCTGCCACTCTCTCCTACTTTCTAACCCTTTCCTGCTCCCTCTCTCTTTGTTACTCCCACACGCCCACACACACACACACACACACACACACACACACACACACACACACACACACACACACACACACACACACACAC